GGGCGCGGGGAGTGCGCGGGCGCGGGGGCGCGAGGCCGGCGCTGTCAGTGGTGCTGGCGGCGGCGGCGTTGCTGCTGCTGCTGCCTGCGGGCCCCGCTCGGGGCAGCGCTGCGTCCACCGGCTCCAGGATCCCGGCGATCGCTTCCTGCCCGGCCCTGGGGTTCGGAGAGTGTAATGCAAGAAGATACGCTGGGACGTCATGGCGCGGGACGTCATGGCACATGATGTAATATGAGAGGTTATGATGTAATAAGATGTGATAGGATATAACGTAAGATATAATGTAATATTATATTATGTATTGTATTGCATTGCATTGCATTGTATTCCTCTGCAAACATTTTGGATGTAGGCTTCAGTCCCACAAAAACTTAAATCAAGGCTTCAAATCAAGTTGTTTCTCTTAACTACCTCCCCTGAAGAAGACTCCACCACCTCCCTAGGTCTCTCTTCTGGCATTTCTCAGCCCTTCTCATAAGAAGGCTTTTCCTGCTGTACAACTTCCCACTGCTTTCTTGCAAACTCAGCTGTTTTTTTCTGGTCCTCGGTGACCATCCCCCCGCCTTGTAACAACCTTGTAGGTGTTGGGAAGCTTATTCTACCTCTTTCCTCAGTCATCTCTTTAACAGTCTACCCAAAGCTGTCCAAGTTCTGAGTGGCCGAGGGTAGAACCCAGCACTGACTGCAACAGAAAAACAAACTGCTGTGGAAAAAAATGAAAAGCACACAAATTACAAGGAAAAAAGTCAAAGACAGAAGTTTTGTAACCCTCCTTTCCTTTGTTAAAATGAAATTCCATCCTGATGCAACCTTAATTCCAGTGGCATTACCACTCTGGTATTGTATTGCTATGCCACGTTAGGGTCTGGGGTAGAACTGGAAATACAAATTCAGATAATTTGGTCAAGTCATTCCTCATATACAGCCCCCTGGTAAAGGCTTTATTTGAATTACCAAAGTATTCTAAAAAGAGATTGTCTTAGAAACTATCTGCTCTTAAAAGGTCGGGTAGCAGCCTACTGAAAATTGGGTTAGATTTCCAAACTACAGCCCACACATTAGGAACATCTTTTACTTTTCAAAATGCTCTAAAATCCATGTACATCATGAGATTATCTTCTGTTATACTACAAGAAGGGCAAGGACATTATCCATACAGTACATGTGGAGTAATTTGGTCAAGAGGATCCTTATACAGCCTTAAACGCATAACAGGACTGCATTAAATATTGGCATTTATGAGAAAAAATGTGGGTAGGTGGGAGAGAGAACAATCACTGAGAGGAATAAATGCCTTCAGAGTTGTTTTGTCAAGCTGTATTCATCTCCATGGGCTGCTTTGAGATGAACAAGCCACTTCGCAACTCTACAGCTATACCTTACTAGTCCTCAAAGGTGGAATTGGAAGCTCCCCTCCACTGCTGGCTGCCTCCAGCTGGCAGAGTTACTGGCTTCTTTATTCCACGTGTTCCTTCCAGCCCTTGTGGGATCATGAAGGTATCAGAAGAAGGACAGAGCAAGTAGCTAAGTGGCAATGTGATATTCCCAGAAAGTGTCATTCTGGATGCCTGTAGGTGCTCAGCTTCTGCCCTCTCCAAGGGCAGAATTAAGGTTGTGATGCCCTGCCTGGAATTGTGTATCTTGACCTCTGTATTTCTTAGTTTTCAGAGTACAGACATACAGATTTCAAGAAGGATATGGGTTCCAGCTGATCCACATTAACATAGTTTTTGAACAGTGATTTAATACATTTAGACTAAACCAAACCTCTATTGGGAAGACATTATTGGCAATATTACATTTATAGGTTACTTAGGATGGAATATATGAGATACCCAAATCTGTGCATTTGTTAAATACATGGAGAAGGTACTCAACCATGTTTTGTGGAGGTATTTACAGATATTGGACCAGATACAGCCAGGAATGAGAAGGGCAAACTTGGACATTCACCATTTTCCTGTCCTCCAGGGTCTGCATTGGCTTTGATGAAAGATCAAGAAGCCTCAACTCTTTTCTGGCATGTACCAGCTGTTAACAGCCCAGAGACCGCTCCATTTAACTTTTACCTTGAGGACCACACACCACTGCTAGAAAGGCAGCTTGGCACTTGGGATATGTGGTTTAAAATGTCATTCATTTCCTTCACGTAGGCAACCCTGTCAAACTCCATGGTGCTCAAGAGCTGAATTCCAAGAAAACTGCCATGTCCCTGTTTCCAGCCAGGCAGCTGGAGTTTGTGTGCTGTAGACAGCTAAATTTTCTTAACTTTCTACTTTTGTTTCAAAAAGCAACACTGAGAGCAAAACAGGCAGAGAGTTTCAATTTGCTTTATAAATATCCCGCAAATTTATTAATTGAATGGATTGTCATTTAAAGAAATACTGTAGTGCAGATGCAGGTGCATTACACACTGGCAGATTATCCAAATCTCATGGTGTTTGACTTCATCTGCCAACATACCTGATTTGGGATTTTCAGGATTCACTTTGACCTGTTCAGTAAATATAATGTCATGCACCCAGGCCAAAGAGAACCAGTTCAAACAGGACTCAGCAGTGTATGGTGCACTCTTTCTGAGTCCTGAGGAAGTCAGCATGGCACTGCAAGGTGTTTCAGCTGTGCTAACTAAATATTCAAGCTGCCTTCACCCAGTGGAATGAGAGTTCACATAGCTTCCTCTGCATACACAAGAGTAAAAATCTCCCCATCCTTTCTCATACATTTTGAAACAAGCGATACCCATGGACATATTTAGGATTGCATGAGAGGGCCCGGCCACACCCCCTTCATCTGTGTGGTTTATGGGCAGAGAGCTCTCTGAGTTCATTGGCATGTCAGCACAGTGAGCTCTGAGCTCACAGTTGATTGACACAGGCTGTGGCCACAGTTCCTGCTTTCATGTAGCTCTAGAGTCCGGAGACTGAGCACTGCTGCTGTTCACCCTCCTCACAGCCCTCCCTCCCAGTGAGGGGAAAGTGGGGACAAGTGGTGGTGGTGCTCACCCCTGGGATCTGGAGCTGCATGAAAGCAGGGACTCCAGCCAGAGCCTGTGGCAATCAGCTGGTGAGCTCAGAGCTCACGGCATATGTGGAGCTTGGGTAGGAACTGTGCTGACATGCTGGTGAGCTCAGAGAGCTCACTATGCATGCACAGCACACCTAGAGCAACCATGCTACTCCCCCACCTCCCCATCCACTAGATCTGTCCCTGACTATAGCCTGCTATTCTCTGGACAAACAAGACAGGTAAACCTGCCTCCATTCCATTAAAAGTCCTATTTCCATCCCTTTATAGATTTGTTTCACACTATGTTCTTACTTCCATAATCAATGCATATAAAGGGAAGAAAAGGACTTACTGTACAATAAGTCTAAAAGAAACATTGAACATAATAGGAAGATATGGGATCAAATGTTCAGCTGATATAAATCAGAATTGCTTCACTGTATGCACCAGTGAAGGATCTGGGCCTTAAATAGTAGGTACAGTTTAACAGTTTCTTTTCAGTGCCCCTAACCTCTTGTACTGCAGTCCAGCATGCCTCAAATGAACTACCAATACGATGAATATTTGCAAAGGTAGAATATAGCTTCAAAGATTAACTTGTTTTTTATACTCATTGTATGGCTCCCAGAGTTAGAAAACCTTCAAGCTGAGTTACTTCAGAGACAAGTTCTTAGCATGCATTTTGCCCAAAAGACTTCAGCCTCCAAAGATAGGCATGTTTTATTTTAATTCATGACTTGCTCCTGAAGAAATAATAAAGATGCCTCTACTTTCCTTCTTGATATTCCTTTTTTATTTCTGGCAGCTCCCTCCTCCAACTCTGAGTCTGTGCACTGCATTCATTTCCAGAAAGATATGGATTTCCTCACCTCCATATACCTGTTTTGTCTTTGTTATAACCTCTTGTAATACTCTTGGGGCACGTCTACACATTAATTAATGAACAATGCTTATTGTACATTTATTTACTTCTTGTACAATCAAGTACTAAATAAATACAGCATAACCAGAGTTACTACACAGTAGCACCACCAAGCGCCTTTTTAATAACACTACTACATAGTAGTCTAATAATACTACACAGTTGTGTATTAGCACTGTCCGTGCTGTGATGCTCTACTGCGCAGTGTTATTAGGGTACTGCACAGTTAGCATCTCGTGTAGATGTGCCCTCTCTGCCATAGCATCATAGAATCATAGAAAATTAGAGTTGGAAGGGACCCCAGGAGGTCATCTGGTCCAACCCCTGCTCAAAGCAGGATAATCCCCAAATATAACATATCAGCCAAAGCTTTGTCTAGCCAGGTCTTAGAAACCTCCAAGGATGGAGATTCTATAAGCCCTCTGGGTAGCTAATTCCAGAGCTTTATTACCCTCCTAGTGAGAAAGTTTTACCTAATATCTAATTTAAACTTGCCTTGCTATAACTTGAGACCATTGCTCTTTGTTCTGTTA